TAGCCAAGTGCAGTGGTGTCATCATAGCTCACTGTAACCTCAAACCCCTGGGCTCAAGCAATCCTCCTGCCTCAGCCTCTCAAGTAGCTGGTACTATAGGCATGCACCACCCTGCCCGACTAATTTTTTCTGTTTTTGGTGGAGATGGGGTCTTGTCCTTGCTCAGGCTGGTCTTGAATTCCTGACTTCAAGCAATCCTCCCACCTTAGCCTCCCAGAGTGCTAAGATTACAGGCATAAGCCACCATGCCCAGCCTCCCTTGATGTTATTCCATGTAGACCATTCCATAAATCCAGATAGTCTTCCTATTTGACATTTTAATGGCTATATAATTTTTTATTGCATTACTATGTCAGGATTTACTTAGCTATTTCATGACTGTTAATAATTTTGGATTCATCTGCTATTATGAAAAATAGAGCTGTAAACTTCTTTGCAAAACTAGAGTTTTTCTCCCTATTGACTTCTTTCCTTGGGATTTGTTCCCCAAAGGAGATTTGCCAAATCTAGGAATATAGTAAGTTTTGTGGTCTTTGGTACATGTTGTTGAATTTCTTTCCAGAAAAATTATGCCACTATTTCTAGGGGCAATGTATGGGTATACCTGAGTCCCGAAAGCTCTGTTAGTTTTGGTTTCTAAAAGATCTATTATTAATAATTCAATATGTAGAAGGTAATATATTGGGCTATTTTCATTTTTAATTCTTTAATTATTATGGAAGCTCAACATTTTCCCTAGTGTTTGTTTGCTATTTGTATTTTCCCTTGTGCAAACCATCTGTTCATATCCTTTAACCATCTGTCCAGTCAAACCTGAATATTACCCATATAGATAATATTAATTTCCCTAATATACCTAATATTAAATGTTTATATATTACGTTTATTACAATGCTGTCATGTTCTTATGCTCTTTATTTTTCCAATTTGGGACCAATCGTTTTTTATTCTTGATTTTCTGATGTGTAGGTATGTACTTACATTTCACGCACCTGAACCTGTCAGTGTTCTCATTGGTTCATTGGTAACTCCTCTGATTTTTTCCATTTCCAGAAAATCCCGTTTATTACAAAGCGAATCTGTGCAGCAGTGTTTTATTTCGTGTGTGTGTGTGTGTGTGTGTGTGTGTGTGTGTGTGTTGTAGGGAAGTTTAGCGTAGGGAAGTTTAAACTCTCCCTCTGAAGGTTTGGTAATTGAGTCATTCTGACAAAGTAACCTGATGATGGAACAGCAGAAGAAAAGGCATACCAATTTATTAACGCACACATGGTCATAGTCGTTCTGCAAATACGAAACTCAAAGAAAGGTCAAAGGGTTGAATCTTGTATGTCCTCTTCATAGGGGAGAGGGAGATGGGGGAAATGTAGGCAATTTTGAGGAGTTGCAAATGATTTTTAGGGAAATTCAACAGTCTCAAAGCACACCCAATAGTTTGTAAATAATACTCTTTGGAAACTGAATGGGACCAATATGACACTGATTTGTCCAAAACCCTGTACCTGGTTAGGAAAATAGCTAAAAGTGGAAACCAGAGCGTATCACATGCTATACTTGTCCTATCAAACCATTTATTCAAGTCTTCATTCAGTGCCTTTAAGGCTCTAAAACCGTATTTTATAGATATTAGTTAGATATATCACAGCTGGCTAGTTTCTAGGAATTTTTCGGGTTGTGGTAGACTAATTTCTCAGCAGAAAGGAAAGGTCAGCGCTGAATCAGCTTCTCTTTAACTGGTTTTCCTGGCAGCTGGCAGGGATGTCTGCTTCTGTCATTGCCCAGAACTGTGTCATGTGACCACCACTAGCTTCCCAGGAGCTGGTGGGTGTTATATTTTAGCCAGGCAAGAGTCTTCAGGTTTAAAGGAGAATGGAGGGAGGGAGGGAGGGACTTCCTCTGTGTTTGGAATGTCTTTCTGGGGTGAGGGGATGTGTGGAAATGCAGGGAAGGATCTGTTATTAGCTCTACTTACCAGTCACTGTTTCCTTCTTTAGAGCTTCATAACAACTGAAGATTAAAACCAAGTATGTGCCAGAGGGTGTGCTAGGTTTTTTAATATACATTGTCTCTAATCCTTGCGATAACCCCATTTTGCTAAGACAGATTGAATACTTGACCAAGGTTATGTATCTTTTAAATTTAAGGTATTCTTACTTGGGTTTGTCTTAGACCAGACTCCATGTTTTCTTCACAATGTCATACTGTCAAATTCATTTCTTTACTTAGGATATGGGGTGAGGATGGTTGGGTTAAACTTCTGCTATTTCTTGATATTTTCTAAATTCTCTAGGGAGACTTTACAAACTCTCCAACTAACTAGCAGTGAGATCTTGGACAAAGTACTTAACCTCCCGGATTTGAATCCATTTCCTTATTACTCAGATACAAAACCAGACAGATATTACAAGAAAAGAACACTATAGTCCAACATCCTTCATGAAAATAGATGCAAAAATTCTAAAAATTTTAAGCTGTGAAATTTAACAATATATAAAACAAATAATAAAACAAATAAAGTGGGTTTTATTGCAGAAATACTAAGTTGATTTAACATTAGAAAATCAAAAAATTAAAAAAAGAAAATAGAAAAATAGCTGCAGAAAAGCATTTGACAAAAATCCAACATCCCTTCCTGATTAAAAAAACTCTCAGTAGACTACAAATTGATGGGAAGTTCCTCAATCTGATAGAGTATCTATGAAAAACTTATAGCTAATATCATACTTAATGGTAACAGCCTGAATAATTTTTCTCTAGAATTAAGAACAAGACAAAGATATTCACTCTCATCACTTCTATTATAGATTGTACAGCTTGTAGCTAATACAATAAGGCAAGAAAAAGAAATCAAAGACATCTGTATTGAAAGAAAAAGTAAAACTCTTTTTTCACAGATGACATGATTGTCTATGTAGAAAATCTGATAAAACCCATAAAAATGTTACTGGTACTAATAAGTGAGTTCAGCAAGATCACAGAATACAAGATCGATATACAAAATCTACATACTAGCAATAAACAATCAGAAATTGAAATTAATAAAACAGTACAACAGCATCAAAAATATGAAATGCTTTAGGATAAAGCTGTGCATATCTGTCAAAAGATGTGTAAGACTTATACACTGAAAACTACAAAACACTACTGATGGACGTTAAAGATGACCTAAATGAACTGAGAGGCCCAGTTCTTACAGAGACCCATATCTTACTCATGGGTCAGATGATTTGATATTGTTATGATATCAATCTCCCCAAATTTATGGATAGAGTCAATATAATGCCAACCAAAATTTAAGTAAGCTTCTTTGTAGAAATTGAGAAGCTGAATCGAAGATTTATGTTGAAAAACAAAAAACCTAAAATAGCCAAACCACTTGAAAAAGAACAGAAGTACAGCATTAATGCCAGCTGATTCCAAGTCCAGTGACCAGGGCATTATAGTATTGATGAAAAAATAGACAAATTGATTAATGGGGCAGAATAGAACTAATACGTTGAAGAAAAACTCATTTTTGACACAGATGCAAAGGCAGTTCAGTGGAGAAAAGGGTAGTCTTTTCAACGAATGGTGCTGAATCAACTGGATATTGATACAAAAAAAAAAGAAAAACAAGCAAAAAATTTTGTTGCATAGAAAAATTAACTCAAAATGGATAATAGACCTAAATGTAAAACCTAAAACCATAAAACTTTTAGAATAAAACAGAGGAGAAAGTCTTTGTGATTTTGAGTTAGGCAAAGATTTCTTTTTGATACCAAAAAGTACAATCTATAACAAAAAAAACTGATAAACTGGACTTGATCAAAATTTAAAACTTCTGCTCTTCCTAAGACACTATTAGGAGACAGAAAAGACAAACAACAGACTGGAGGGGAAAAAAATCCTTGTAAAATATATATTTG